ATGGAGCTGCTGTCACCAGGATCGGAATCAACCGTTAGAGTGCGTGCACCAACGGGTCAGTGTTTATCGCGGTTTTTCATTTCAAATATAAAGCTTGACATCCCCTGGTAGATCTCGCAATTCCATTAAGGTGAAAACTGTTCCAGAACAGATTTCTGCTTGTTATTACGCAGACTTTTACGGAACTTAGCATCGGTGCCTGTACACTTATCGATCAATTATGTTTCAGCGTCCATTGACCAGTTGCTTAGGTAAGTGTGCGCCGTCACGTGACTTATTTCTACTTACTACACTAGCTTTTGTGTGGGAAACGGTTTTACACTGGATACTGATTCCGTAAACGCTGGCTAGTCGAGTATTTTCCTCATATTGTGACAAAACGAGGGCGAGTGTGACCATCGGCGTCATTAAATCGAACTTTCCTCAGGGTATACGTAACGTTATGTGTATACATCATATATATACATATATATATATATATATAGGGTATATACATTATATTCTTGTCTAAGTGCGAGCTAACTGCATTGATGATCGGCCCCTTGTTGCAATTCAATTCACTCTTCAAAATACTAACCGGAAGGTCACGAGCTTGAATCTCCCACGGGGTACGTGAGATGCGCAGTGCTGATGAGTCAGGGGTGGCGGCCCCTTGTTGCCAAACAATTCACTCTTCAAAATACTAACCGGAAGGTCACGAGCTTGAATCTCCCACGGGGTACGTGAGATGCGCAGTGCTGATGAGTCCCATCAGGGGTGGAACTGCTGTACATTGCTCCTCGGAATTTTCTGTATAGAATAACTTCGTTTAATGGAAGAAAGCTAGACTGAAAGTCTACCACATCTGCTCCAAGATTCCAGGAACTTGGGCCAGAATCATCACCCATGAATTGTAAGAAAAGCCAATCCGTCGAATGTTTTTTACGCGCTCTATTTGACAGACTACGATTAGCCACCGTATAGCATTTGATATGACAAGGTAAGGATTGCTCCTACCCCCCTACGGGCCCTGTCAAGTGGATGCCAATGTGTGCATCAATCATCCTTGTTGGTCAAGGCGTAATTGATCTATGTTTCATACCACACAGATCATTCGGTATATAGGTGAGCAAAAACTGCTCATTCGCCTGAGTTAACTTTGTTCAAGCTATCACACTGAATGTGCTCGGAGTAAAACTCGTCCTTTGTAATGTACTACTCATAAGGTTGCTGAAAATCCGTCGACAGCCCACAACCGGTTTAGCCCTTCTTGGGGCTCATCAGGTAGGCGCAGTCCCCGGGTTTCTTTCAACCTAATGTTCTACTTGAAATCAGTCTCTTCTCTCGAAAGAACCAAATTAGTTTGCAGATGATGTATATTCGCTAACTTCTTTGTACTCTTTTTTACTTGAAGTTCGCACTTGAATCGTAAATGCAATACATTTTCACTCCTGAGGGTCATTCTTCCTAGGGACATTCGTTTTCGAGGAAGGGAGATAGCATCTTTTACTTCCTTTTTCCTCGGGAGCACTTGCGTGGAGGGGGAGTACACTACAGAATCTAGACAAAAAGAAGAAAAACGGAGGAAAAATCTGGTATCTGACCTTTCGATTTTGGACACGTGCTATACGAACTGTGTGGCCACGTAGGCTACCCGAAGTCACACTTCCAAAGACGAATTTTGCACAAAAGTCATCCTAGGAAGCAATAAAGTAGCCACGAGACATTTAAATCTATGCACTTTTTTCTCAAGTCAAATTTTCTTTCTACATTTTTCTTTGTGAACCAATATGTGTATAGATTACAACCACGAGGGTTGTCAGCCAGTAGGAAGTGTCAAGCCGCTGTTGTCGCAAGTAGCCTATTGAGAAGCCAAGGAAATTCTTAATGATGGAAACTACTTGTAAGGTTGCTGAAGATATTCCAAGAGCCCATGACCAGTTTCGTCCTTCTTGTGGCTTCTCAGACAGGCTTCTCGGACAGTCCCGTCAACCGAACCTTCTATTTGAACCCAAGTGGTACGCAAATTACGAACAGTAACAGGAGACTGAAATGAATTCTAGCTGAATCTCTTGTTTATCGTATTCTTCAAGTTATGTGCTACACACAGAACGTCTCATTTTCATGTGGCGGCTTCTTGAGGGAAACTACTGATAAGGTTGCTGAAGACTTTTCGACAGTCCATGAGGTGGCTTTTGTACAGTACGTTCAATTGAAGGATATCATAAGCGGGAGATTCAGCTGGGATTCAGGCGAGTCTCGCGTCAAAACTAAATTGGTACGCAAACGAGGGTGTTTGACAACTCAGGGGATTGTCCACCTCAGTCACACTCTCTCATGTCTCATTTCCCAATACCTGAAGCATAAGATCGTTTTTTGGTCAGTCATCCCACTGACGAGCGACCTATGGCTCTTCTCCTTGTTACCTTGAATTTCGAAAGGGTTACATTTGTTCATAGTCACACCACTCTCGTTTGAACGGTCGTCCTCCTGTTCTGGCGTGATTATCCCGGTGAATCCACACCAAAGGGAAGCACTTTAATTGAGTTTCACTCTTATTAGAGCTCATCAGCAGTGCATATTCAATGGCTGTGCAGGGATTTGAACTCCCGGACATCCGACATGCGAGGCGAGTGTGTAACCACTACTCCACCAACACACGTTGGACGCATATGAATTTTCACGTCTGAACAGTCGAACGTGTTCACACTTCAGCGATGTGATCTGGTCACACGCTGGCCTCGCATGTCGGATGTCCGGGGTTCAAATCCCGGCACGGCCACTAGTTGTGCACTGCTGATGAGCTCTAATAAGAGCGGAACTCGAGTTCAGTGCTTCCCTTTGGTGTGGACTCACCGGAATAATTACGACAGAACAGCAGGGTGACCGTTCAAACAAGAGTGGTGTGACTATGAACAGAATACCTATCCCGTAAAACCCTAAGGTTACATTTGTATATGGTGCTTAGCTGAAGGAAGGGACAGGGCTGACCAACCAGTGTAGGTCACCAGAGGAACCGACACATTAAAGGTGAACTATTACCACTCTATACTAACATACTTGAAACACGTAACGAATAAAGGCAGAGGTGAGAAATGGAAAATCTTGAGAGATAATGCAATCAAACGGATGCATCATACCATGGTAATATAGATGCAGCGGCAAACACCTATACTTAAACCCAAATTGTAAACTGGGTGCTTTTCCCGCCGCCACCAACTTACTGAATCCGGATGGTTCATTCAAACAAAAATGTATACGCACACATCGATCTTGATAATGGATTTTTACAAAAACAACAGAACCGTGGATGACACTTTTGTTATCGAAAAGAATGAACTGCAGCGAGTAAGCCAACAATCAAACAGTGTTTTTGACGAAATTCAGTTCATAATTGAAGACCCCCCTCTTCGCTAGGTTGCCACATGGACAGCTAAAAACTTAGGGTTACAGAAAGGCAACGCATGCAAATTGAGTCCTGAGCAATGCTGCAATCGAGCACTTTTTAATTCGATCGAGACATACTGCAACACTAAGGAATCCAAGAGTAAATAAGTGAAACGCCTACACAAGGAATTCCAGAGAAATAACTACTCGGAAAAGTTCAGATGGCGATCACCCGGGAAGCTAAATACGACTAATACAAGAGCACACAGCGGAAGCAAACAAATCACACCTTCACATCAATGAAATGATAGTACTATTCGACAGTCACCTTCAAAAATAGCGAGCACCTTGCGGAGGACACTACCAAAACCAAAATGACAATTTGATCCATTGATGACGTCGTATACAGGATCTTATGCAATGATTGCGAGAACGGACCAATCATCTCACGAGAAACGTTCGAAGGATGAGTGCCAAGCACGGCGAACGGCCATCTGATCAACCACAAAAGACGAAACCGGTTGTAGAGCTCAGATATTAGTCCAACAGATTTTATCCCAAAACATCTATGCAAGACTCATCCTCCCAATGTTCACACAATGCTGGGAAGTGTCATACCACACTATCAACTTTTCCGACCGACCGACAGTCGCATGTGCAGCGATGCTGTTCTGGAAGAGAGCCGTCAAGCGGGAAGGGATCCCAAGAAGTCAGCGTAATTGTTTGGTTCCAACAATGGTTGCTTTGTGAAACATAGGAGGCTTTTGCCGAAAGAGAGGTTCCCTCAGGAAGAAGACGGCTTGGAAGTCCTGGTGTGATGGGGCATGAAATGATGAAAGTTGTCTGCGGTTTGAAAGACCATCTTCACAGTAAACAGACTTTGAAATTACGGGTTTATTCCGGCATCGAGACCTTTTTTCGCTGATGTCAATGTGCGACGATATGTCCTAGAAAGTCCAGTATGAGTCTAAGAACATGAAGCTTCTCACACTAATGCCTACCTTGTCTTTGCGTCCAATTTCTCCTGCTTACTTTGTTCGCGTTTCGAAAAGAAAGACCTCACCTTCAATCGACCTAGTCTTTTCACCTGAAGAAGTGTTTTTGCGATGCATTTGTGGATTGCCGATAAAATGCGCCGGAGTTCGGTCGCAAGGCACACTGCTAGGTGGAAGTTGGGCCGCAACCAGCTTGCTGGGTGTGAGAAAGAATCTGTTCTAAACAGACCGGCCTTCTCAGCAGTTTTTGCTGATGTCCGTGATCCTAGACTTGACAGTAATACCGACTCAGTGAGTCCAAAGCAGGCAGGATAATGGTGGCACATTCCTGTTCAGATCAATTAGTTTCCTACACGCAACAAATCAAATATGCTTTCACTGTAATTTTTAACCCAGGCAAGCGACTGATTCACCTAAAATGGCCCAAGTACAATGTTTCCGCACAATGGTAGTTCATAAATCGATCACGATGAAAAATAAACAAATAACTGAATAATAGCCGGAAGCATTGTTGTGAATAAAACCCAGAGAGGGAGCCTGTACTGTAATTGGGGAAAATTGGGTGGTTATAGCACCAGGAAGACTTCAAACGCAAAGGCAACACGGAACCATGAGTAGCATTGGATTAAAAGCCGTCCCCTACGATCACACTTAGCAGTCTTCAGTGATATTCGCTTTACAATGCAAGAATCGAGAATGCTAGCTCCCAAGCGGAAATGTTCGATTACCCGATTCCTTTAGTTGTAGTTAATACCAATTCCCATCCCCAGAAAATCGAAAAATCCGTTTTTCTTGAATGCATATTTACGTGTTCGACTTAGTAATACCTCACCCTCAGCTGCGTGAAATGTGTGCTGTGTTGGTTCAAATAGAGACCTATTTTTCGACCGAATAAGCGTTCGGCATTTTTGTCTGACTTGTCGGTAATTTATGAATTCATTTTTGAACAGAAAAAATAACGCGAACTCGCAGTGGAAGAATTTGTGCAAAGTCAGATCTATAGCTACGTTGCATTGCCAAACGTCAGAATTACTGATCGATCGATTTACACAGCTAGACCACCATCAGGCGATCGATACAGCGCGTATAGCCTGTGTGTTCTTCGTGTATGGGTCTAGACCAACCACAATCAGCTGACTTCTTCCAACCAGGTGCGCCGTTGCACGATCAAACGTGACTGAGAAAAAAAGGCCGCTGGACCCAGACCATTCAGTGCCTGATATGGGTCTAGACCAACCACAATCAGCTGATTTCTTCCAACCAGGTGCGCCATTGCACGATCAAACGTGATTGAGAGAAAAAAGGCCGCTGGACCCAGGCCATTCAGTACCTGCTTCCCACACTTTGTTCGTGAGCCTGCAGCTGGCTCAAGGCCGAGGATGCCGATCGGTCCCACGGACACGTACGACTGAAGTCCAAACGTAACGAAAAAAAGTGACTGTCACGAATGTGAGGGGGTTTCTTTTACTGACCGGTTTAGAATGTTACCTTGGCTTACCTATTAGTGCGTATGCAAACGTGTTTAATTTTTTACCGTAGCGTAGATCCACCTACAGGGGGCAACATCTTAACTCCTCGTGGCTTACCGCCAGATCTCAGGGAAAAGGTGTACAAACTACTTCCGTGAGGTCAGTTTAATCAGATTTGGACATCTGAACGCAACAAGATATCTAGAAAAACTAAGCGGATTCTGAAGGCGTCGGAAGAGCTCTAACGTATTATGTGTATAAATCTATTAAATTCCTCGAACAATTGAATAAAGCTCGGGTGTGAACGCAGTTGCCTAAACCTGGAACGAGGTTGAATGACTGTACCATCTGAGGTGTTGATATAAAACACCAGAAGCATGTTATTACCTAACAGTGTTACTCCCCCATATGTGCTATAAAAACCGTTTCTTCGGTCTTCAACGCAGACTAAAAGATCCCAACTTGGTCCTATTCCGCGTGGACATTCTGACTTGATCAAGCGCATCAAAAATCGAACAGTGTCTGGAATCAACATCAATCGAGTATTTTCAGACGTTCTCCCTCCGACCAAGACAGACCTGGTTGTGCTAGCAAAAATGAGGTGTTAAACTATAGGAGGGCTGTCGGAGACAGTCCGGTCGATTGCTCCGATAAATCTGGCCCTTTGGTGATCGGGTGCTACAAAAACGCGGTTAGCAAATATGGTTAAATTAACGTGGAATTTCGAAGCAATATATCTGTGGCTAATCATCCGGTTTATCTGGCATAGAATCGACGATTCGATTTCAAGAGCTTTAATTGTTCGTCAATGATCAAACGGTAGGCAGCTAAATAAACATCTAGAAGTTGGTTGCGAAAAACTGGAATGCCACACAAATGGGAGCGAGTGGAATCACTGATATGCGGACTGAATTCATTTATGCGTGTCATCGAACCAAAAATTCTAATTGACCAAGAATAATCTTGGCACCAGCCTGCTAGACTTTTGTGTAACAGTGACGCACACTTCCCATGAGATCGGCGTGCATATCGTGGTCTATTCATTCATCCACTGACAGCCACCAAACGCCACTGGTAAACGCAATGGGTAAATTATTGATTTTTCATTTGGGCTTGTCCAACAGAGAACCCATTCTAATGGCATGTTTCTATTCACTCCCAGACAAATTCAAGAAAAGCTCTCCGAAAGATTGCTAGGTTTAGATTACCGTCACTCAACCTCAACCATTATGACTACTGTAATGTATATTAAGCCTGAAAATTTGAGTACGTTCGTCGATTCGCGTTGGGTTTCCAGTTCAGATTTCTCACAATAACCTGTTTGTATATGCAGATAGCTTCACATCAAATGCATTCGTTGCATTCGTTGATTTCACGAGCCTGTTATCCATGATTCACCGTGACAGGTGACGCTGGCAATTAAGCGAGATGCCGTACCGAATGATCGATTAACTTTCTTCTACAGTTCAAACGTAAGAAGCGGCTGGTCGTACGAAGGTCAGTCAGTCAAGCTTTGGCAAATGAGCCAATCGCCCTCAGGCCAGCGGGGCGGAGTTCCTAGCCAGTCACGCTAGGCCCAATTAGGGACTGCCAGGTACAGTGAACAAGCTGCTTCATTGACACACAGTTGAGGTGATCCAAATCAAATTTGACGTGTAATTATTGAGTCAGATTCTATAAAATATATGGAAACATTAGCGCTCAACCTCAGGCAGGAGAAACTGCCAATGTTCAACCGAAATAACACACCCCTGAGAACTGTTTGGGAGTTTTGGTTTTGATGGCCTTTTACTGACAGTACCAAACGAATTCGCACTGAGACTGTCTCATAGACAAGAGAAATATCGCTCAAGTCAAAGGATGCTAGCAATCGGCCACACAAAGCGAAAAGGCAAAAAAAACGAATAATTCTGTCAGAAAAAAAACGCGTTTTTGACACTGCCAATTGGATAGAATCAATGAACCAACGATATGCATCAAAAGCTGGTGACCACAGTACACTATACGTGCCCATTAACCAAATGATAATCACAGTTTTTGCTTCAGAAGAACTCATTCTCAGAGCCAATTCGTAGATTGCCAGATCTTCATTGCCTCGAATCAATTTGGTGGTGAGTCAAAAGAAAACAGATCATCACATACTACTGCAATCCCCAACAAAAACCGACCAGAAAGTCCCAAAATGACAACCTAGTTTAAGCCGATGTCTTGGTGTCATCATCCTGAAGTAATTTGCTCTTCAAATTACAAAGTCGAACACTGATCGAATCTCACTATCCTAGTTTACTAGACACGTCCTGGAAACTGAAGACTCAGTTTGAAGCAACTCACTAGTCTCCAGTCTTCCCGAGAAATACACTCATTTGCAAATCAATTTGGTTTTCACGAGAGACCCAACTGAATCTCTCGTTTATGATATTCTACAACTGAATGTACTGCACACAGGCCGCCTCATGTTTCAGTTGGCACGATATTCGAGATATTGCAGTATATTTTCATAAAGGAAACTACTCACAAGTTTGCTGAAAACTCCTCGACAGCTCATGGCCAGCTTCGCCCTTCTTGGGGCTCATCAGGTGGGCGCAGTCCCCGAGTTTCCATCAACCTCATGTTCTACTTGAACTCAACTTCAACTCTTTTTGAATCACACACTGCTCGTGCTTTTGACTGACCGTCGGAATGCCCCAGACTGTTGACGCATTTGGTTCATGCTCTGTTACAGGGAGTGCCTGATCGGCTGTTCCGCTCTCACATGTGGATTATGTCAAACCGAACAGATGATTTCAGCGTTCCGTCGGTAGAGGTCCTTTGATATGATTGTCGAACGGTGGCGACTGGCTGACCATGCCAAGAGTACTGCCGAGAATTTCGGTCCACTGAATTAGGCAGGTCACCTAGAAAATTCAGAGTACCTTTAGTGCAATGGAACATCGAAAGCGCGTTTCCTGGGACTTTAGGATTTAAGACCGCCGGGAGATCCCCCCTCCCAGGATTAATGGGCAAAGCTGGACAACCAGTCTGCCTCTGGTAGGCGTCTCACAATTCACGGTGGATGGCTGTATGCTCCTCACTATCAAGTTATCTTACGGTTAACTTAATCCGAATGAGTGAATTTCACCAAACAGTATGGTCAAACTATGTGTTACAAACTTGACCACGTTTAGAATTATTGATTTTTGATTGTGCAATATGCTTTGTTTGGAATGGCTCTGTCCTGCAATTTATGCAGTACAAAAGTCAACACCCAGGCGAGAGTTCGCTGTAAGAAGATGCAACAATGGGGCTTTTCAGAGTCCCATTAGGTGAACTACCTTTAAGAAGTCACTGAGAACGCTGCATTCTTTATGATCTGAGAGAAAAGAACTAACCAAAATCGAAATTTTCTGAAAAGCTTGTACGGCCAAGCGAATGGGGTTGTGTTAGAACGTTGGCGGATTCGACGTTTTCGTGGATGCCTTGAAATCGTCTATTGGTCAAAGTCCTGATAAGGTGTCTGAAAACATCACAAACGAGAAATTCTGCTGGGTTCCAGGTGAGTCTCTCGAAAAACCAAATTAGTTTGCAAATGGGTGTATATTCGCTAATTTCGTGCGGTTTGGTTTCAAGTAGAACATAAGGTTGGCGGAAATCCGGGGACTGAGCCTACATGATGTGCCTCAAAAAGGGCGAAACCAGTCGTGGGCTGCCGACGAATTTTCAGCAACCTTATTAGTCGTGAATTACAGAAATACATTTATCGCGATAGCTCGAATATCGTAGCGACTGAAACATGAGGCGGCCTGGTGCAGTACATTTAGTAGCCTGAAAACATCACAAACGAGAGATTCGGCTGGGTTCCAGGTGAGTCTCTCGAAAAACCAAATTAGTTTGCAGATGAGTGCATATTCGCTAAAGTTGTATCCTACTTTGTGAGATTTGTGCTAAGACTATGCAAAACTTCACGACCCTTTTACCTCGTTTGGAGATCATCAGGCGGGCACTGTACACAAATTTTAGTCAGCAACTCGGTACTGGGCCACCGAGTGATTGTGCACTGGAAGTGCGGTCACGATGTCGGCGAGGTTCCGCCTTGGTTCAAGACGATTATCGATGAGGTGTGGCAATTAACCGGAAGGCAGATTTTAAAGTGTCCGGCGAAATATCGGCGAACTGACTACAGTGCTCCTACAAATGAATTTTTTGTATGAGACTTCTTACAAACCAGACTAGAAAACGGCAGTTTCACACCAAGAAACATACACTGGAATATCATACATGAATGTTGAATTCGAATGTTCGCTAATCTGCATTAACTGCAGTGGGACGATCTGGATATTCGGTAGAGTTGCTGCACTGGTTTTGAGGTCGCAGTGGTGCATTTCCCGCCTACTCCCGTTAACCGACCGACCAGTCTATATTTGAGTAGTAAGTTCCTCGAGCCCAATGCGAGCCACCCGTTTCTCACGTCAAACATAGGACCAAGTTGATGGTCTGAGCAGGTGTTTCAGGACCGAGATTGTTAGATCCATTTTTATTTTCAGATAACACAACTAGTCGGTACTGTCGTTAGTCCTCATTTGGTATTTCTAGTTGACTTAGTGAGTAATTCTACTGGGAGTTAATCCGTAGCCGGCCGGAACGAGCTTCAAGAGAACGATGCTCAACCATACTAAGCCAGAAGTGTTCACATATCGAAGGGGGATATTAAAGAGATCTTTGGATCGACGTCCGAAATCCAGTCCCAAGAACCACTTTATTTAAGCTTGTTGCAGTGTGTGCTCACAGGAATAGATCGAGGGAACTCCAGCAGTCACAACCTGATCTAGTGAATGGGTGTGAAAAGATCACTCAAATGGCTTCGGAAGAAACGATGTACTGTATACTCTTTTCTTGGGGTAAGCGAGAGGATCCAAATCTCATACTACGAACAATCTATAAGTAGCTCAGTGGAAGAATAAACTTCACCCGGTGAGTAAAACTTCCATCTGAGAAGTCGTTGCTCGAGAAGCCAGTCAACACGTGTGACCGCGTGATGTGGATCCCGTGATTGAAGGATGAGCGGCGCTATATCCTGTCTAGGTACGAGATAATCACACTCTGTTTCTTCCTTATTGGGAATCATCAGCAGTGCACATCTCACGAAACTCCGAAGAGTCTCGAACACGTGACCTCCTGCCTAGTAGTTTGAACATAACCGTTCGGCCACGAGTGTCTGATGGATTAGCTTCACTTACAGGACGAAATCTCCTCAAAAAACCCAAATCACCTCACACTAACAACATTCTGATTACATCACCACTAAGATTATGCGGATCTTGAAACCAAGTGTTATTTCAGTAGACTATGAGTTTCGAAAGTGAGGTGAGGTCGAGATGTATTTTGATTATGGTGGGTTCGTTCTAATAACAGTGGATGTAGTCAAGTGACCTAAAATTAGGTATTCACTGTCGGACTGGGTAAAAAACTAATGTTCTCTTCATTCGGTGTTCGCCAATCAGTACTGTATGTCGGAGTTTCTGGACTTGTTTTCATGTGATTTCGATTAGTTATTGCCTTGTCCCACACGTTTCCCCCAGAAAAGATTCGTTGAATACATTTAAAAATCGTGTCGTTCACCCTCAAGGGAAATCAAAGTGCGGCCGTTTTGCGATTGTTTCATCGATGAAAAAAGTCATTGAATCTTTTCCCCAGTATGACAGCATTTCTATACGCCAGATGGTTGATCATATCCCTTTTTCTAGAAAGCACCACCCAACCTGAAAGAGTGCATATCATCAAGACCAGCCTAAATCGCGCTTTTTTCGGGAGCTGTCTCCTTCAGTCTCCTCAGTCGTGCATTAGGGATGTGAAAATCTTTTCAAGTAAACCTTGTGAATGAGAAAAAGCCTTTAGGGAACAAGCACAGAAAAAGCTTAGAATGCATTAAGCGTTTGTTGTCGTTAGTTCAGTTGTGATTTTTCCCTTACGCTCATGCAGAATGGTTTTTCTCCCTAGGTGATTTCTGCATACTCTTTGCCGTCGATGGAAACTGGCGCGGTTCCGCTTAATATCGCCTGTCATATTGAAACAAGTTAGAACTTCTGGGACTACATCATATGGTGCTGATTGGGTCGGTATTCCAGAACTGCTTTGGCGTGATAACATTTCTAATACGGTTCAATGCGGACTTCTAATCTTAAAACGCATGCTTGGGGTGCCAGGTTTCCTAAGAGCAATGTTTTTCACACTGAGTCCCGGCTGAATCTCTCGTTTCATGATATTCTCCAACTGTGGAACAGTTTTCATCCACCTTTTAAGTGATATTATGTTCACTAAGTACTCCAATATCCTAAATGCCGTTCAGAATGAAACACGAGACAGACTTTGTGCAGCATGTTCGGTTGGGAAATATCGTAAACGAGAGGTTCAGCCGGGACTGGCTTACATATCCAGTCAACACCAGCCAGTTAATTTGCAAATTACCCATAGTTTGAGGATCTTTTGTGTACACGTGAACGCTCTACAATATCGGTTCCTTGGGATGGGTGACCTGTCATATCAGTATCTACATATGGAAGTGCTTGACAGCAATAATTCAGCCACAATAAAAGCATTATCGATCTTCGAACAGTCACTCGTTACTGTGAACCTCTGAATGGTGGAAGCTTGCAGTTTGATGTTTTGGGATAGCGTTTGCACAGAAGCATTTGTAGACTTAGTTGAGCCTGCTTGCCTCTTGAAAGTACCACCATTAGGAGGCAGACAGATTGCAGGTAGGACAGATCCGATCAGTTCTTGGAAGCATGCTGTATCCTGGAGCACCCTCTTTGGATTAGAAGTGCACTGCCTCTGCAAACGAAGGGGCTAATACCGATGGGATTGGTTCTGGAACATTCACGCACAACAGAGACTGAATTTGGCGAAATACACTCATTTGCAAACTAATTTGGTTTTGCGAGAGACTCACCTGGGACCCAGCTGAATCTCTCGTTTGTGATGTTTGTTTACAATTTGTGTACTATCGTTTACAAGTTATTGTCCACAATTTGTTCACTATTGGAGAACGGTAACTTTCAAACCTTGTCGTCAACTTCATCGTTGAATGAAATTGTATCACACATAATTTTCGGAACAAATTAGTCAGCCAACGATCCAGTATCCGTCCTGGAAGACCAATTGTTACTTGAATGATTCTGATTTGAGGCCCTGTTGCAACCATGCAGTATTTTTCATCCAGGATGCATTCCAACGTAGGGGTTTCTCGATTCACATTGACACCAGTCCCTCCAGGGAGTGTTGCATGTCGGAGAGGAAGGTAATCCTTATTGATCGGAGTGCGGTAGCTTCTGTTTCTATACTGCATTTGGAAAATTCAGCGAAATTTATCCGTCATTTTATGAGGAAAATAGTGGTACGGCTCATCACGCTTGTTTAGTGTGGAAAATAACTTGCTTGTCAGTGATAATTAGTTAGTTAGTTAAATGGTAAGTTGTTAAACGGGGAGCATTAGCCTGAACTTTTAGTTTACATTACATCATTAAAAACACTATTTTTATTCTATGAATTGCAAGGCCAAATTTGGGTTTAGTCGATCAAGTTGAAATATGTGGCACACTTTCCGAACCATAAAACTACCATCTAAATAGTCTTTGGTGTAAAGTGTCTTAATAGAATACACAAATCGTAAGATTGCTAAAACTTTTCGATGCCACACTATCCGAGTTTCCATTAATCTTAGGTTCCAACTGTACATCAAATTGTACGCAAGTGATGACATGCACCCATTTACAAATACATTTGGTGTTGCCGGCAAACTCAACCAAATCTCAATCGAATCTCTCCTGCACAAGGATGAAACGAGTAGTGCGCTACCGAAGAGTTTTCATCAATTCTATCAGTAGTGTGTTCTGGCAAGTAAGTCTGCCCTGACATATCGAGTATCACACCAACTCAGGCAAGGTGCACCTTTCGTGCAAAACGTTTATTTGAAGCTGATCATAAACGACAGAATCAGTTAAAACCCATTTAACCTGTAACTGAGAGTGCCTCATCGATCTTTTATGGATTGTTCTCTCCTGGCACACAGTCACCTTCCCGAATGACGTTACTCGCAATAGCAAATTGTCCAGCGTGATTTGGTCCCAGTTCAACAGAATTCGACTGACTACCGTAGAAATGACAAGAAAGAGCAGTTTAAGTGTCTGCGGAGATGGCTTTCACTTGCCAGGTTTCCTCCAGTTCCTATGTTGTTGATATCTCTAGAATAAGATTTTCGGTGAACTTCACAAAGACTGCATCACGTGAAGGTTCCTCAATAGATGCAGAAACCCAACTTCCGGAAAATAAGGCATCGTTAAAGAATCAGGAGTGAAGTCTCCAGAAGTCGTAGAAATAAGAAAAATTAATATGATCCTGAGATGAAGTCTGGATACTTTCCAAACTTATGGTAATATTTATACTATTTTAGTGACTTTACCCTACAGGCACAATACTCTTGCCACAAACCTAGGATAGTAACTGCCTGCAGTTCCTTGAGTTGAGGTGAAGATCGGAATGACCTGTTAGCCAGCGGACCGCGACAGTTACAGATTGCCAATAAGAAATTGGGGTTGATTCATTTGAGTGAATTAGACAGGTATTGGATCTGACAACAATCTGGCCTGATTCAGTGTGTGTGCGTAGTTTATGAACTGACTGCAGCATGCCACTGAAACAAAGCAGTCATACTGGAAAAAACTACCCATTTTCAAACTGGGCTGTTTCGGCGTAATACACAAATGAAATCTTCGTTAACGATATTCATCTACGTGTTCGGCGCCGGGTCTGCTTTAGGGTTGGGCAGAATCACCATCTAAGGGGTTATATTTTATTTTATACTACTTGGTTATTCTACAAATAGTATAAATTACAAATAAAAATGCCCCCATAGAGTCTCGTCTGGCTGGAAGCGTTGTTGAAAAAACACGAATGAAATTGAGCATTACCAGTTTTGCCGTAAAAGTATTAACATTTAGAGCTGAATCGCGTTTCACTTTTTTTTTTACTGATTTTGTAGCCACCTTCCAGCTGCTATTAACTTATTTTTCTCCACTTTCAGTCACCAGTTCTGATGAGAGAGCCACTGTTGCTCTGGGCGTCTTACCCCATGTGTTGGCGCGAAACACAGCATGAGGGTCAGTGTCGTCCCGCCAACTTCTCACCTGTCAGAGTAGACAAGTTTGTGCATTCTCAGCCCACGCATAGAACCATGTTAGTGAACAATGTACAAAACCCCATGGTCCAGCCTACCAGGTTGGTGTACGGGTTTTCAGCTGTCCACTAGCTTTCTCGAAAAAGTTGTCGATAACACTCCCGAGGCGAAATAACCTTCGTCGCGTATGAGTCTCACTTGCGGAAGCCGTTCATTTGGATATTACTTACATAACAGATGTTAAAGCGTATTCTCTGCAGAATACCCAGGCGAATCTATGCAGTAAATATCCAGTCGAGATTCACTTGCTTGGTAGTTTGCATCGAGATAAACCATGCAGCGGATATGTATGTGGCTGATGGAACAGTCCCTAATGAAACCTATTTCTTGCAAGTGAAAATGTGTTTCTTGATCTTTGTAAGATGCGTCCTCGACGTCGAAGTTCAACTTCAACGTCGAGGACGCATCTTAAAAAGATTACCTAGCCAGCTTAGGACACGCCCTGAAAACAAACGAAATGTCCGAGGAGGCTCAACAACAGATCCGTGTTTCCTGATTTTCTGAAGCGCACAACAACATGCAACTGCCGAACACCGCTTTAGCGTCATTCTGTAGCACTTGTAAACTGCTCTTTTTCATGCTCAGTATCATCTTCTTTTTTCCCATCATTATCAGTCACATCGCTGTACAAAAGTTTGTTTTACTGAAATACTACCGCTACCACCCGCTCGTTGGCTCCAACGTGACTTTGAGACTTTTGCTGAGTGACTGTTGCTTTGACCGCCGGTTGGCTATATTTGACCGCTGCTAACACTAAACGTGAACAAACATTTCAGCTACAAACACTGGACTAATATATTCACGCTTTTGGAATAATATTTCGATCACCGGAGATCTGGGATACCAGGAAGATAGAACTATTCTTGGTGTGGTGGTTCAACGGAATACGGAACTACGGAATCTCCTATTTTGAACTGTGAGTCAAAATTTACTTGTATTTTTCTCTTTGTGACTTTGTATCTGGCTTACATCAGTAATTTGTTCAGTTCACTAGAGATTCCATAGGGCCGTTAACCACTACATAATTGGTGAGCCCGAACAATTTTTGCTGTTTCCTATTTTTTTTCTAGCTCAGAACTCCCATATCTCTCACACATACACTTAGTCCAGTAATTTTTTTCAACCATGTCTAACGAAGACGGACTCCACACTGAGTTGGTTGAAAACGCCGTTCACGTAAAACTGCCAGCTTTTGAAGTCAGTAACCCTAGAGTATGGTTTATCCAACTAGAATGTTACTTCCGTTTCCGCCGAATTACCTCACAGCAGACCATGTTTTCTTACGTGGTTTCTCAACTCCCGACTGAGGTTGCCGCGGAGGTTATTGACCTGATTGATCCTATGCCGGCATCAAATCCCTATACCACACTAAAGGCAGCAATTATTAAACGGACAGCCAACTCGGACGAAGCGAATCTGCAAAAGTTGCTTGCAGGGGTCGAACTGGGTGATCGCACACCTTCGCAACTGCTACGGCACATGCAAAGCCTTGCACGCGGGAAGTCTTTTGATGACGCAATTTTAAAGCAGTTGTGGCTGCAGTGTCTCCCCTTAAGCACTCGCCAAATCCTGGCTACCCAGTCAGATGTCCCTCTGTCGTCACTCGCCGAGACGGCAGATAAGATCCACGAATGCTTTGCCGACCGTTTTATAGCATCAACCTCACAACAGCCCATTCAGCGAGACGAAAACCCTGTTATGGCACGCCTCGATCGAATGCAGGCGCAAATCGATCAACTGGTGGCCACGGTAAACAAGGTAGTCACCACAGCGGCGCGGACTAACACGTCACGCAAGTCCCGATCGGTTCCACGTAAACCGACCTCTTCATCTCGGGATTCCAACCGATTTTGCTATTACCACACAAAATTCAAAGACAAGGCTCAACGTTGCACACCTCCATGTGCTTACGTCTCCCCTGACCAGGGAAACGCGCTGGCCAGTCAGTAGTGGCGACAGCTGCCACTGGCCAGTCACCTAGTCGCCTTTACTACGTTACGGATAGAACCACCGGATTGCGGTTCCTCGTCGACACCAGTGCAGAACTTAGCGTTATTCCTGTCGTAAACTCGAAACGCTACACTTCTAACCCGCTAACGACACTTCAGGCGGCTAACGGCACGCGCATAGCTACCTTCGTTCATAAGTCACTGACGCTTGAGCTGGGTCTTCGCCGTTCATTCCCCTGATCTTCACTGGTGGCCGCCGTACACGTCCCAATCATCGGTGCGGACTTCCTGACCAACTTCTCGTTGGCCGTCGATATCACGCGGCAAAAGCTTCTGGATTCTTTAACGTCGCTTTCCGTTCCATCAGTCCAGGTCGACGCTTCGTCATACCCACTCGGTATTCACGTCGCCCTTACACATTCCGTTCCGGTTTTCGACGAATTGATCAAAAAGTTTCCAAGCTTGCTTAAGCCCTCATATACGGCCTCGAGTGTGCCACATCAAGCATCATATA